TTTTTTATCCGAATAAATAAAACAGGTTTTATAATTGAAAGTGAGCTTATAACAGAGAGCATGAACACGCTTGTGGCACGACGAATATCAATAGTACATTCATTGTCATTGCGACCTGTTTTTTTTTTTAGAGAAAAAACCTTGCAACTTAGCACAGTATTTCCACATTTACTTTTACAACTGACTGTGTGGTACGTTTACACTATTTCCCTGTTATACAAGTCGTTAATCGACGCAATTACACCATGATTACTTTGAAATATGCCCGAAACTTAGCATAGTACATTAACATTTTTTTAGATGTTCCCCTATTTATTTAGTCGTTAGCCGTTAACCGATGCAATTATTACACTGGTATAAAATCGATCACTAAAGTATACCGCTACAATTAGGTGTGAATTTGTTCATACATATGTGAAGAATAACTCAACCACACCTTAAAAGGCGTAAAATCTCTTGAAACAAATAGAAAAAATGCACGTGGTTTGATTTCTATAATTTGTGGTAAGCTTTCATAATTGGTTCGCTGGAAATGTAACCAAAATACTAGTATTCATTTTCTGGGCAACTATTCTATTCTTGTTGGACGGTGGTTTTCATTCAGATTTATGATGATGAACCATTTGTCCGTATTTATTGGTACATGTTTTCTTTCTTGGCATAAACAATTTCTAAATTTGGCGCCATATTTATATAATGAAATAGACCATTTTTTTTTTAACGCATCACGCACGTAAACATAAAAATGTCAATAAATATGAAAACGCGGGTCACGGTGCATTTAACTAAAGGAACTACCACCATCAAAGAAAAAAGGTGTGACTGTCCCTCAACTCATTGTTTCCTCTCGATACACAAATGGCATGACCCACACAAGATGGCCGCAACGGTATAAAATTACGTTACAACCCCGTTGTAAACTTCACGTTCGTCACTTTATAAAAACAAATTTCGACTTCTACGTTATCTTGTTTTGACTACACGTAAATACCAAACATACGAGGAATCAGGCGAAATGGCAATCGGGCGAAATGGTAATCGGGCGAACAGGTAATCGGGCGAAACTGTTCGGCGAAGTGGTAATTGGCCTGGGCGAAATGCCCCCAACTCTTTTTTACATTATTACATGTAACTGTATTGTAGTAGATTTTAGATATCTAACTTGTTATGTTTATTTTAACACCTTTATTACATTTTATAAACCAAAATAGGTATGTAATTCATTCAATAATGTTGTAATAAAGAATTATCTTATTTTATCTTATAGCTGAAAATACCTCTGCAAACGTCTCATTTTACCTTCATTTAATAAAAATAATCATAGTGTTTTATTCATAACCGGAAGAACTAGAGAAAATGCAACTTGCCAGCATTCACCAATTTTAAATCATTATAAAATAGAACATAATTACTTTGTAGAAACACTAAAACTAAATAATCTTATCATAAATAAACCAAAATAACAATACTCCTGCTAGATGTGAGTATACATCAGAGTGCCAACATTTGTCCATTAGGCTTTCAACTGTGTTTTATTTTGATTATACGTAAAAACAAATTTTCTCTAAAATTCGGTCAAAATGTCTAATATTTATTAATATGTCTAATATTTATTTTGGCTGCTGTTACGCGCACTTCTTTAAACCACAGTCCTTGTGTTAAACTGAAGTGCTCAGTGAAAAGTAGCATGAATATATATATCTTCTGAACCTACGCCTTGAAGCCAGTACTTCAGTATTCTCATGGCGTGTTTCCCATTTCTATAGTGGTATTGTGTCTTGGTATACTGCCTCCCTTCATTAAAGGCCTGTAGAAAGTACGTGATATATTTGCATTATATACATGAGACAGTCTTTCAGTGTCTCATATTTTGACAGCAATTGTATATGTATTGTTGTTTACATTTAAAATGAGTCTGCAAAATCATTTTTAAGGTGACCTTTCTCTGTATAAGGTTTATACCAATTCTTGTCAATGCACTAGTAGAACCATACCTACTACATATGTTAATTTTATAATTTGTGAATGGATGTTTGAGTGTTTTCAATTTGTTTTTAAAAAGAGTCATCGATGTCATTTGTGTCTAAATTAAAAAAAAAAAACGTATTTATGTTATATTTAAATCCATTTATCATTAGTGTTGAAATTGAGTCAATATATGTGTAATTTGTATGTATTTATCAATTCTTGTCGAAACTCATTATTACTGTTTTCTTATTGTTCCCGTTTCTTTGCAGAGTTATACAAACAGTTCAAAGAGGTCTGTAGACCTTTTGGACTAATTTGACATGGGGATAATACCATCTACATATATATATATATATATACATATATATTATTTATTCATTTATTTGGTTTTGTTTATTGAAGCTACATTTCTACATTGTTGTTAAATCAGCACATTTGTCAACATTGACATCGAAAGGGTTACTTAATCTGTTTTTCCATACATTAAAATGTGTTACCAATCAATCCCACTGACACGAACAACAACAGAGTCGGTCGAGCGAATCATTACGTAGTCACCCGTGTTCGTAGAGGTCACGACACATGCGTACGAAAGATCTCAATATCACCACCTGTAGTCGGTGCATGCGGGGGACGAGCGGCACTACGGGGACGAATACGGACCAAACACTTCAGGAAACAAGTATACAAGTGATACAATGATTATGAAGATTATCCAAAATATCTGTTACTAACGATATGTTTCAGAGAAGACGAGTCCAAAATATTCGATGTGTGTATTGGAAGAAAGTTGCGACCTTGGTCATTTGTGTGACGATATTCTTCGGATGCCGTTTTCTGCTGCTCAGTAAACGCGAGGTAAACAATCGTCTGCCCCAAGACTTCAAGGAGTTACGGCACAGAATTCCAGAACAGGGAAACCCAGCTGCTGCCGTCGGCAAATCGACAGGTATTCCGGAATTTCTTTCACACCATGCAAGAATTCATGGTCAGAGTTACGCACAGGTCAAGTTTGGTGATTCGTGTTATGAGATGGACAATAGAACGTTCTCCTATTCAAAGCCACACAGCGACGATAAACTAACACTCAGGGGTTGTAGGAAGCGATTCCCCGATGCCCTCATTATCGGGTCTAAACAATGTAGCACTGTCAACTTAGGTCATTTTCTGAGTTTTCATCCGTCCATTGCACTTAAACACAACAGAAGCAGCGAAGTTCATTTCTTCGATTTGCACCAAGATGAAGGATTCGCGTGGTACCGGGATCAGCTGCTCTATGCAACAAAACAACAGGTCGTCATGGAGAACACACCGCAGTACCTGACATGGCCTCATGACTGCGCTAAGAAAGTCCACGATTACATCTCATCGAAGACGAAACTTGTTGTTATTCTGTGTGATCCAGTGAAGCGGGCAATCGCCGACTATGTCGCTTCTATCGCACCAAGACCGCGCGCTGACATCAACAAACGGAGACATTACAAAATCGGGAACACATTTGAACAGTCTGTCATCGATAACGAATATTCTGTTAATTCCATCAACTATTACAACGAACTTATAGACGCTGGTGTATACATCAAACACATACTGCCATGGTTAGAATATTTTCCCGGAAACCAAATGTACATCGCCGATGCTGGAGAGTTGGCAAGCGACCCATACGCAGAACTCCATCGACTGGAAGCGTTTCTTGGTCTTCCCGAATTCTTTTTCAGGGGACACTTTTATTTCGACGAAGTGAAGCGATTATATTGCATGGCATTTCCATATAAACATTGCACCAATGACGGGGTAGACCCTCTAAACTATCCGGATGTAGATGATGCGATTCTTGATAAATTGTATGAATATTATCATCCATATGACGCTCTATTGTCGGATATGTTCAACCGAACATTTTCCTGGATGGGAATATATGAAGAGTTGGCACTGTAACGTGCTCCGGTTCATGTTTTTATATTAATACTTAATATCCTAGCAACGAACACTGTCTTCATCCAGGCCTCTATCGGGTGCAAACAATTATATTATTCAGGGGGTATGCCATGTTGTATGACGAGTGGTCGATTATTTTATAGTTGATACAAGCTCATATACCTTTTAACATAAATCGTTTTGATCTGTAGTCGTCCCTCAAAAAATGTTATTAAAAGATTTACTATATGTTAAATGATGAATGCATAATTTGTTTTTTGATAAAATTTAACTCCGATGTCTCTAAAACAAATGGGGTAATCAGCCAAGAGTTTTAAACCGCATCTCTGACATTTAATGTGTGATCACAACCAAGCTGAAATACTTTGGTTTTCATTTACTTCCCTAATTGATAATATCAATCAAGACATCAATCAGGAAAATAAACCGTTTCCAATATCTTTTATTTATTTTTCATATCCAAAACTAGTGCATATTTTCTGAAATATTGTTGTCACGGTCTTAAATTAGTTTAGACTGGATTGACATATTGAATGGATGCAATTAGTATAGCGCTCTCTGTGGTCATTTGCCGAGTTTCTCTTGTTCTGCATTGTCGCTTGTTGGTGATGTTCTTGCAATGATTCGTCGTGTTGATTTTGTATCCTTTGTTAGATTACATTTACCTATATTGCTATTTTAGTAAGTAATAATAATAGTTTCAAAAGCATTTGTTATTGAGTTTTCTCATAATAAATTATTGTCGCCGCAAATTGGTGACATCCGGTGTTTTGTTGTTGAAAAATGTACTGGAATAATATACTAAGAGAAACACAATGGTATTATTCACAGAACTCCTGCACTAAGAGGCGCCCATGGTCAGAGATGTATCTATGTCTTGGTACTTGAACGCACGCCATCAGTAAAAAAAAATAGCTTAAAGCGGGAGGGTCGTCACCTGCGCACGCGCGGGAATTGAGTCCCAAGCGACGATAACAACACACGCTAAAGGCTCATGAATAGACGCTTGTTTGTAAACAGTGACATGCTATGGCCATCTGACGCATGCGCATGCGACGACTCCCCCGCTTTAATGAGCATAGAACTGATAAACATGGTATTTACTTTGTTTACACCAGTATGAGAAACGAGAACCATACGAGTGTTTATAGTGTATTCAACTGATATCTCAAAAACGATTTTACGTTGTTACCAACTTTTTTATTGGGAAGTTCAACTCATCTTGAACATGAAGATTGAAGTTGGTGTTTCCACGAAGAAATGACCTTATTATATCGATTGTAACTGAAAATAATAATTAACAATAACCTAATAATTACTAGTACCTAACTTACGAGATATTTATTCACATCAACATTTCCGTGAAATTATGACGTATTCTAGTCGATATGTGGCATAACAAACAGAACGGAAATAAGAAGTCGTGGGGTGAGTTATGTCAATATACAATCTAAGGGTCACACAGTCCCTTCTCGCGACAAAATCGAGGAGTTCAAGATCACTGTCGAGCGTTTCATGGAGCAAAACGCACACAATGATAAGCTGGTGGAAGTGCCCTGTACGCATGGAGTGAAGTGGATATATGTTATGTAAATACCTGAAAGATTGTCTTCACCTGGACGTAGATGATGCTATTTAACACACACAGGGGCCATTCCATCGACAGAAAAACGTATTTTACAGATTTGAGAAGATCTGTCGCTGTATGCAACTATGATAATGAACAAAACGAATACGACTGGTAAATAGATGAAAAGTGAAGCAGGTGTTGGAAGGAAAATTACAGGGACCTCAGTGACTCTAGTCATCCAGTCATGATAAACGTTGGTACGCTTAAGAATAAAGTAATGCTATGTATTCGTGCTTTGCACCCAGCACATTTCTCTAATTTCAGTCGCGTCATTTACTCCGTGGTTGCAACAAATGATTTTTTTCAAAATACTTTCACTTTAAAAAGTTTCGCTTAACTTTTCAAGTTATATCGTGTTTTTATATGTGGTTCATCACTGGCATCAGCTAAACAATGATTCAAAAACAAAAAGTAATGTTATAAAAATCTTCTTATCTCTAAATATTGATTTATCTGTCAACGCTCCCATCTATATTTTAACACGTGTGTTATGTAAATTGTCGCCATGGTTGAATGACCATTCCTTAATATCAGGTCGCCATGTATCAAAGCGCGGTAGTCGTCGCGCTGCGCATGTTCGACATTTGTGTTCATAAACATTGATTTTCCCCACAATCCAATGCGCTCTTCAAATGGAAATCACAAGTATGAGGTTTGACCTGGGCGCGACTTGCACTTATTACCGCCGGCGACTCCTTCGATACCTTCCAATCACATGAAAATTACCCAATTAAAGCTCGGAAACGTCTCGGTTCGTACTCGTTGATCTGCCCAACAGTCAAAGTCGCCGCGGCCATCTTTGGTATATGAGACCCATATATCCCGCACATGCGCAGCGCGACGACTACCGCGCTTTAAACAAGTTATAGGGTTGTAAATTTGCATTTAATTACAAGGGGAACAATTTTCGCTATTGTTTTGTTGTGACTGAATTACCCACAAAAAGAAAGTTACAACTCATTTTATGTTTGTGTCGACTATTTTTTGTTTTTCATCACAATAAATAGATAAATAAATATGTCCTGATCTGATCTTAGATTTATATCATACGTTTGCAGGATATATGTAACACCCCTCTGTTATGTGGTGTTACCTCAATTTAATTTAAAATACGACAGACAAGGCAACATAATTTAATTTTAGCTTACACCATTCTCAAGAGGAGACGAGCTACATTGTGGGAGGGACATAATTGTGATGTATTGTTTTATACTAGAATGTTTGCAACGAAAATGTATGAAATTGCTACACTTTATTCTCCTATCGAGTGAACAGAGTAATATTGTAACACTGATGTTGGTAAGTAATGAATTTGAAAGCAATATGAAATTCCATTACAGTATAAAATTATAAATTCCTCATTTAAAAGCAACCGCCACAGATGTTGCAATATGTCAGGCATGTTGCAATGTGTCAGCCATGAAAAACATAAACTAAGTCAGAAAATGGCCACGGGCAATTCAATTGGTATATTCATAATGGATCAGAAATGAAATTAGAGTGCCCCTTCGTCATAATTATATTGCATCCCCTTTATTATGGTACGATCTAAAATCAAATCATGCCTTCCAACGTGCAGGTGTTGTTCCGTTCGGACATTCCTCCCTCTACAACCGATAGTGGAGTGCTTCGCCGGAACATTCGGAAAATTCAAGATGGTGTTATTTCTGATTTGGTGGTCTATAGATTATTGTGAAAACAATAAACACTGGAGTTGTACAAAAACTCTACTTCTCAATATCAACAGTGGAACTTTTCGAGCAAGATGCTTTAATTTAAAGTTTACATCGGTGAATTGTGTTTTTATTACTGTGGAAATTTACCAGCTGTGACGCTATCGCTGATTGGCTACTCGAGCTATCGCTAGCAGTACTAACATTTTCTCATTTATATTTAATCTTAAGATTGCATCTTTTCTACACACATTAGAGCCTCCCCGGGTTTTTATGATATGTATACAATAAGACGTAACAATTTATTTAAAAATTGTCACAAAAATGTATATACTTGTAAATCTAACAGGAACATTGTGCTTGTACGTGTATATCCGGTCTATTTTATTGTATTTCAAACCCCACCTTTATTTCAAATCCGACATTTGAAAATAACTTCACCACGTGATTTAGTTGGGAGATCTCGGTATTTGATTCTGGGAGGGTCAATGTGACTGTAACTGCGCCCTCACCGACGGAAATCATAGGGTCGTTGTTTGCGTATGAATCTTTCGGCGAGGGCGCAATAACTCGTACCGATCCTGTTCATCAACCATGCCATTTCTTGCTACATTGTATCCGATATTGAATGTAAAAACTGATATATTTAAAAGTGATATATTAAAAATGCCAATTTATTCTAGTTCAATTTAGTATACACAACTACCATCGAATTGTCACTGTATTTTTTTTTTTTCAAAACGCGTAATATAAGTATGGAACCATTATTTCCACACTGACGAGTGAAACCTGGCTTGTTATAAGGCATATTTATAGATTATACGTTTTACAATATGTTGTAGCATCGATGCTATTGCTATAACTCGAACTTTGTGTGACTCGAGTTTTTTAACTCGCACCTTAATTGATATCAGTGCACAGAGTGAAAGTGAGGCTTGGTTTCGATCAGACCAATTTCAAGTTCAAGCCAATATTAACAGTTTTAGTATGTGTGCGGCCAAGAATACCGGTATATTTTCAGAAGAATGGATCGAAAAGTGGAAACCCTACAAACGAGTTGGCGAACCTTTACCGGGGACAAGAATGATCGTCTTTAAGACCCCGGTGGAAAAAAGCTTACTGGGAAACCTACTCCCAAAAGAAGACCTTTTTGGAATTGACGACCTGTTCAACGAAGTGGAGAGTCGTGGCTATACACTGGGAACCATTATCGATCTCACATATAAGACCAATCTTTACTATGACTACAAAGATGTGATTGGCCGTGGCGTAGAATACGTGAAGATCCCTATATCCGGACAACAATCGGGAGCAGGTCAGTGCAGCCCGCCCGGGGATGAGTTAGTCGACAAGTTCTTCTTGGCCGTCGACCGTTTTATCGATCAAAACGTGGAGAATGAAAAGTTGATCGGTGTCCATTGTACCCAAGGTATCAACCGTAGCGGGTACATGGTATGTAGATACATGATAGACCGCATGGGAATGGATCCAGGTGATGTCATTGAAGCTTTTACCAAAGCACGCGGGCATCGCATCGAAGCCGAACTTTATCTAGAAGATCTGAATCCAGTATAAATGTGTTGTTGGTCATGGTCCCCGAGTCCAGCGGAAAATGACTTTTCCAATATGGAGGTTCGTTAACGATCGACCAATGTGCCGAAATATACACGACACATGAAAGCGGGACATTAGTTTTTATATTCAATATATTTAGTATCACGTATACCCATTGTAACGTAGAACTAATAAATTTGCCTAGAATTCTAGTCATTTCTTATATGTGTATTATGTTCTGATCGGCGTAGGGTAGCCCCACACAGACCTGCAGACATTCAATGAGCAATCTGCAGTATTATAGTATATGCATTTTTCTGAGCAGTGCGTACGTGTAGCAGGGATATGAAAAAAGTCAACTTCGCAGGAGGGAAATCCCCCACCCAAAATGCGTACGGGTATTATGGATACATAAACGTCAGTTTCATGGGAGGGGAACTTCCACAGTGCCTACGTGTAGCCAGGATATATAAAAGCCAGTTTCACAGGAGGGGAATCCCCACAGTGCCTACGTGTACAGAGATATATAAAAAGTCAACTTCGCAGGAGGGAAATCCCCCACCCAAAATGCGTACGGGTATTATGGATACATAAACGTCAGTTTCATTGGAGGGGAACTCCCACAGTGCCTACGTGTAGCCTGGATATATAAAAGCCAGTTTCACAGGAAGGGAACCCCCACAGTGCCTACGTGTAGCATTGATATATAAAAGCCAGTTTCACGGGAGGGGAATCCCCCCACAGTGCGTACGTGTAGCCTGGATATATAAAAGCCAGTTTCACAAGAGGGGGACCCCCACAGTTCCTACGTGTAGCATGGGTATATAAAAGCCAGGTTCACAGGAGGGGAACCCCAACAGTGCCTATGTGTAGCATGGATATATAAAAGCCAGTTTCACGGGAGGGGAACCCCAACAGTGCGTACGTGTAGCCTGGATATATAAAAGCCAGTTTCACAGGACGGGAACCCCAACAGTGCCTACGTGTAGCATGGATATATAAAAGCCAGTTTCAAGGGAGGGGAACCCCCACAGTGCGTACGTGTAGCCTGGATATATAAAAGCCAGTTTCACAGGAGGGGAATCCGGATCCCCCCACAGTGCGTATGTGTAGCCTGGATATATAAAAGCCAGTTTCACAGGAGGAGAATCCCCCCACAGTGCATACGTGTAGCATGGATATATAAAAGCCAGATTCACAGGAGGGGAATCCCCCACAGTGCGTATGTGTAGCCTGGATATATAAAAGCCAGTTTCACAGGAGGAGAATCCACCCAAAGTGCATGCGTGTAGCATGGATATATAAAAGCCAGATTCACAGGAGGGGAATTCCCCCCCCCCCCACAGTGCGTATGTGTAGTCTGGATATATAAAAGCCAGTTTCACAGGAGGGGAATCCCCCCACAGTGCGTATGTGTAGCTTGGATATATAAAAGCCAGTTTCACGGGAGGAGAATCCCCCCACAGTGCATACGTGTAGCATGGATATATAAAAGCCAGTTTCACAGGAGGAGAATCCCCCCCACAGTGCGTATGTGTAGCCTGGATATATAAAAGTCAGATTCACAGGAGGGGGAATCCCCCCACAGTGCGTATGTGTAGTCTGGATATATAAAAGCCAGTTTCACAGGAGGGGAATCCCCCCACAGTGCGTATGTGTAGCTTGGATATATAAAAGCCAGTTTCACAGGAGGAGAATCCCCCCACAGTGCATACGTGTAGCATGGATATATAAAAGCCAGTTTCACAGGAGGAGAATCCCCCCACAGTGCATACGTGTAGCATGGATATATAAAAGCCAGTTTCACAGGAGGAGAATCCCCACAGTGCGCAATCACACTTACACAAATGCAATGTTTGACAATAATCTAGAACCACGTCAATTAAACACACAGTTATTATGACGGACAGATGAAAGTGGCTACCAATCTGTTCAATATCTGCTTCGAGGTAGTGGGTCTGAACAATCGGTACAATCTAAAGCGTTGTGTAGCAGGCCTGTAACTCGAAGTCAACGTAAACTCGAGCCATTTAACTCGAGCGATTTCAAACATCCCCATCCCAGGGGCCTTAGCGCACATAATAAATGTGCACACGCTAAGACTTCTGGGATAGGGGATGGTCAGATTTCGAACCACGTCATTGGGGAAAATCCCTTGTAAATACCACCGGAGCCTTAATTCTGACCTGTTTTTATAATCCATTCAAAATACAATTGCTCTTTAAATACGGTGGATACCAGTATTAAGTATAATAAAATTAATACCAGTTTCCAGATTTGAAATGGTTATTATTCGCTGACGATAAAATTCCTGAGAAAGTGCGGGACACTTTTTAGGTTTGAAACCATTTCGATACGTTACATTGTGATGTCGGACAAATGCATACACATTTTCTAACAACGTCTTTTCATTATTCTATCATGATTTATAACCACGATATAAACCTCACTCTGGTTACCTGGTACGTGCCTGGTATCAGCATATTGTGAACGTCTTTCGATCTACATGTTAGAAAGACATCATATAAGAGGATAGACCATTCACTGGAGGGATTCAAGTTGAGCTGACTTCTCCAAATAAAAATATACTGCGCGCCGTGTTCGATACACGGGTGTACTGATACGGAAAAAAACACAGACAAAATAGCAATCTTGCAAAAAAGTATACTTCATTTTGGTTCTTTTTTGACCTGGGTTAACGATTTGTATGACTTGATCGATGATTTTAGCGATTGTTAGCGAAGTTTTATATTTATCATGAATGCAAAAATTGCAGACCCCCTTTCAAGACACCACTGCATAAAAGAGAGTTCAGTCCACAATTGTGCTCAAAAAGGACTACACTTGGCGGTACTATACATCTTTCCAACGAATGTTACATCCATTGTTTATTTATACAAAACATGATCATGTTAGTTACGACAATGGTGAATAATAATGCTACAGAAAAAAAGATGGTCATAGATGCCAAGCAACCCTTTTTACCAGCAAAGAGAAACGGTAACAACTGTCCACATTCCACCCCATTCCACTCAACCCACAATGCAACGCACTCGAGAATCGATAGCAAAGCAGATATCAGTGGATTCTTTTTATAAGAAACATTTGCATACATGCAATTGTGTGCTCACGGGGAATTTCCCCATCGACTAAAATCCCCGCTGACATTATCAGCTTCGTCGACGTTGAATTACTGCGCCCTCGCCGACATAATCGTATAACTATTCTCTGTCGGTGAGGGCGCAGCAACTACCGCAAAGTGTAACGTAAAGCCCGAGTCTACCGAGATATCGACATACCAAATTTGCAGGACATTGTCAACGTCTTTGTACGCTGCCCAATAATAAATTAGACATTTGCGGGAGATTCGTTACATTTTCTTCTTGGATGAAACGATCTACAGAGAAAAAGAAGAAAACGAAATATTTATATAGAAGCTCCTTACATCTGATGAAGGAAAGCACAGAAATTGAAGTTCAGAAAAAAATCTTCACTGTGTGTATCTCCCCTACCAAAGCATAAACTCCAGACTATAAACATAAGAAATATGCAGCTGGGCAACCAGCAATATATTGCTTTTGACAAGTTTGTGTATTGAAATGTAGATGGTATGCATGTAGTGTATACATTTATTGTGAATTTGAATTCACATGATGTTTATCTTTCAAAAATGTTCAGATCACCATCTTAATATACTTTCATTTGTTACATTTTTTTTTTACTCTTTGTTGTACGTTTTCAGGCGAAACAACTGCGGAAAAGTGCGTAGTTGAGTTATTGATCACGAAATTGAAGATTGCATGTACTATTGCGTGCTGCGCAATGACGCTTGGGTTGGCGTGACCCAGTCGTGGCAATTTTATTATTTTTATATGATAGTTTCTTTTGAACATTATTGTATAATCTTATCTGTTGGCGCGTAATTTCGCATCGGACCAAGATTAAAACGATTATAACGGCTGGACCAGTGTCGCATACGACTTGTTTACCACTTCCGTGTGACTGAGAATGTTCTAGAACCGTACTGTGTCTGGGTGGAATTTTTAGAAACTGGTTGAATAGG